TCAATACTGAGCTTCCTCGTGTTTATAAGTTTAATTTTCTATAAAATTAATACATGCGTGCTTGTATTTAAAATCAATCTTTTATCTTCTATATTTGAACAATTATTGTGTGTAATAGAATATGAAATTTTAGAAGAAGTTTATGACAAAAACAAAAAAGCTATTTAAATAATAATTAAAAACTTGACCGCAATTAACATTCAAAATTCGTAAGGTTTTTATATAACGATTAAAAATTTTAAAACTAAATATAAGTGTAATATCTATTTGTTATTACTATCTCGTACATAGAATTTTTATTTAAATGTTGAAATTTGAATTACTTATTTTTGAAAATTTTAAACAACTAGATAATTAGAAAAATAACGTACCTTTACAAATAATTTTGCGTTCAGCAAACAAAAACGGCTTTACTCGATTTGTATGGTTTTAAATTTTTGCATAAAATTTAGGTTCTTTAAAGTTCTTATAAAATTTGATATAATTTTTTACCAACTGAATTGCATGCAATAAGAGAGGTTATGTGATGGTACTAAATTTCGCATGTCGAGTTTTCGGTGGAACCACACTTCTCTATGGTAGGGAAGAAAAAAAAAATAAACTACTTTTAGAGAGATGTCGATCTATCGGTCTGAACCGATTTTGATGAAATTTTATATGTGAGGTTATTTTGGCTATGGCACAGAGTGGTCAATTTTGAGATTTATCAATTTTACATTTTTGCGTATATAGAAGTAATCATCCAATTTTCATGAAATTGAATAATTGTAATTTAATCTATAATTTTTTTTTGGAAAGATCAGTGCTCAAAAAACCGAACTGGGGGATAATTTTACATTTCTCACCATATCTACGAAACTGATCGATGGAATTTCTTGAAATTTGATATTTGAGTTCTGGTTTTTACTGAAAGTAACTGCTGAACTTCTCAGGGAATTCGGCATATTTTCATAATCTAAACACATAAACACATTTTCATAATCTTCTGTAACACTTTTATTTAACTTACATATTGCGGTCGCTTATGTTCTCACACATCACATTTTTTATGTTATTAAGTAGGTATAAATACACAACACAAAAATAATATTTAATTTTATTTTGTTAAGTAAAATATACTTACTGTATGCCATTCAAACCGTGCTCGATCAAGACACTTAGTTCAAATAATTTTTAAAAACTGACGAAAGCGCACAACAGCATGCACGCAATTTCTAGGAACGACTTGTGAACATATAACAACGTAAGAATGTAACAAGAATACTTAGGTTATTCTTGTTACTGAATGCTTACAACAAAAAATTGACAAAACTTAAAAAACAAGACCAAACGCAATCACCATGTTTTGTAAAAAGCATCACACACATGAAATTAATTTCATATCAATATTTATAAATTTTGACATTTTTTTATAACTTGAACTTTTAAACATTTTTATGTTATGTTTGTAAGTTCAAATCTCTTTAAAAATAAAAATATTCTAAACGCAATGTTATTTTTACACTTAAATTATGTTTGAAAATTTATAAAGAAGAAAATTAATTTTTAAAAAGCTTTTTATTTTTTTACTCTTTGTGTTTTGTTTTTAATTGTAAACAAATTTTTTTTATTTATTTTTTTTTTGCATACTTCTAGTTTTCTTTTTATACTTTTTTTTTATATATACGCTTACAAGGTGGAATATGCGTCAAATAAGATTTTCAATAAAAATTTTCATTATCGCTAGTCTAAATATGTGTATGTGTACACAAAGCATACGTACACATACATATGTGCATGAGTAAGTGCATTTGTATTATGTAATTTACATGTTAGTATGATGGTATAATTACATTTCAACTAATTTTTATTAATTTTTTCATAAAATTTAATTAAAATGTAAATTATAAAAAAAAGAAAAAATATGATAAAATTACAGATACAAATAAAATTGATATAATTTATAAATAAAATGCATATAATAATTTCTTAATAAAAAAAAAAATAAAATATTCTTTAAAAAACCTTGATTTTAGTTCTCTTATTAATTTCCTGAACATCGACTCATTATTTAATGATTATTTTAGTGACAATTCAATAATAACCGACAATAGCAGTAGCACTTATAGAAGCGAGAAATAAAAACAAATAAATTTCCCTTCCGCTTAAAGTTCAAAATTTTTGTTCAAGGTAAAAAAATTTCCTTTTATGGCATTACTTTATTCTTTTGATTCTCTTTTTTGTAAATAAACTTAAATGTATTTTAATATTAAACTAATTCATTGAAGTAAAAAATCAAGAAATCATACGAAAATATGCAAAATATAAAGAAAATATAAAGATATAATTCTCTATACCTATATACCTATACATATTTTTAATAAACATTCATCTTTACATTAAAACATGTATGAAAAACCGATGCTCTTTAAAATAAAAAAAAAAGCTATAAATAGTCATAAATACAAAATATTGTTTTTAAAATTATAACAATAATAAGTAATGCAACTAAAAATATTTTTAAGGAAAATTTTTTTATATTTTTGTGTCGGAAATACGTGCATTTTTCAATGTAAGAAATGTACAATCTGTGCACTCTCAATTAAATATAAAAGAAATGAGATAAGAAAAGGAAGAGAAAAAAAAAATAAATTTTTCAGCTAAATAACCTTGTCCAAAATTTACTTTTTTAAAAATAAAATATTTAAATAAAGCAAAAAATTATATTTTTAAAACATGTCCAACATTAAAAAAGAATGAATGAATCTTACCCTATAACCCCATGAGAGATTGTAATTATATAAACTGTCAAAATATTTTTCTAGTGACCTAGGTGCATTAGGTTTTATTATTGAAAAAAATCGAATATAAATTGAAAAATTTTTGCTTATTTATAACATAAAAAATAAACACATTACAAATGACATTTAATCGGCATAAAAGAAGAATACAAATGAATCTGTTAAATTACTTTTTTTTAAGGCTCCATTTACTAGTTCTCCTCTACATCAACTTTTTTATTGGATAAATTTATTGGCTTTTTTAAAAATAGTATGCGTGAAATAGGATCCAATACCTATCTCGGGAAATTTTGGTAGTTTCGGGGAATAAAAATACAAAGTATTTCTTTATATAAATTATTATCAAGTGTGTATTTAAAGTAAATCTACCAAGCTCCTTTCAATTGATCATTTTTATTGATTAATGAAATTAATTCGCAAAGGATTAATTTTCCTTTGCGAATTTTATGTATAGTTGTTTAATAATATTAATAAATACCATTAAACACTTTTTGGTAAAAAAAAATTAAAAATATTTGCCTGTAACATTTCCCAAGTTATAAATAAAAATTTAGGGATCGACTTGTTTTCAGAAAGACCAACATTGAGGTTTCATAACGCGAGAATTAGTGACTCAAAAATATAACTTTGTGTTTATCTTTGTTTGGCCGCATTGTACCACTCTGTTTCGAATTTTAAGTTTAATTAATATTAACCATAGTTAAAGCTTTTGTATATATAATGAATTAGGTATATGTTAACTTTGAATTTATAATTGCTTTTAAATAGATATTTATATTATATTATTAGTATTTTATTTGGTTTTGTAATTTAAAAATTGCATAACTAAAAATATTTCAAAATTTAAAAAATACCCACCACGTTTGTTCAAATACATATATCTAAATATATACCTGTATAACTTATTATTTACTTACATTTAAATGTACATGAAATATTTCGAAATAAATTTAATTAAAAACCTGTTTAGCAGCATTTGAACCATATTTAATTGAAAATCTAGTATATTTTTTTGTAGCTTAAAGCTTTAATATACGTAATAATGCGTTCAAATTCTATATAAAATAAGTATTTATAAATAATATATATATATGTGAATTATATATATTGACATATAATTCACATATAAATATGTACTTATATACATAATAATAAGTGTGCACGTATGTTCATATTTTATAATAATAATATATTGATACGTTTAGAACAATACAATTATCATGTCGTATGCGTCAATTAACCTGCACAAACATACGAGTATTATAACCTAAACCAGTTTTCTTGCTGAATATTTGTTATAACTGAACATGTAAGTTCAAAAGGAAATGTCATTAATATCTTAATTAAGTATTATAAATTGCAAGAAATTTAATTTTTAGTAAAATAAGAAAATAAAAGAAAAATATAGAACTAAAAGTGGTTTAAATACCCTTTCTAAAATTCATTTAAAAATATAATTAAAAGTTGCAATTTTACAATAATTTCAATAATTTTTTTTTCTTTTTGATATAAATTTTTATTTTTTAAAATTATTAAATTATCATGGTTTATATTAAAAATATATTTTTATATAAAAGTCATTTATAAAATTTCCAATATGTTTATTTAAAAGTAGAAAAAAAAGTTGAAATTTTTCGGACATTGTTTAAATTATTTGTAAAATAATTATTTAATATTTCCAAAGAATTTTTGCGCCTCTGCAGTTGTTTAGATTTGACCAGAAATATCTCATTGCTAGGTAACTTTAATATTAGAAAATTAATTTTTGTGTTTTTGACATGAAGATTATTTTAATTTTCGGTAAACTTAAGTAAACAATATAGAAAAATTAAATTTGCAATGGTTTAATGCCATAATGAAATAGAAATTTTAGGTAAAATTAGTATTGAAATACATTTTCCGAGTATTTATCGTGTGTCTTCGAATAATTTTTATATTAATTAGGTAACCAATTAGAATTTTGTAATATTGTTTGAGTAATGTTTGTTAGGGCGTTAGTTCATTCGATTCAAACTGTGTAGCTAAATTACAAAACAAAGGTTTAAAATGTTAATCTCTATATCTACTTATAACACAATAAACATATCTTATATAACTTTTCTAAACATAAATTTGAATGTCGTACGTTTTAAATGAAGTAAAATAAATATATTCAAAATAAAAAACAAAAAATCAAATCTAATACAGTAATTTAATATACTATTTTGTATTTAATTTCAGAATGAAGGTCATTGTATATGGTTTGGTGTTTGTAATGATAGTGGAGGGAAAAAGCAATATTGTGAGTATAATGGAACTGCTAAGGCATTACCAGAAGCTGGAGTAAAACTTTTACAAGAAAGATGTCCTCATCTAATTAATAAAAATGGTCCTACAAAAGTTTGTTGTGATACTGAACAAGTAATGACTTTTTAATTTAATAACTAATAAAATTTATTTACTAAACATTATTATTTTAACAGATACATATTTTAAATGACAATGTTGATTTAGCAGGAAATTTTTTGGAACGATGTCCTTCTTGTATCGGAAATTTAGTGAGACACATATGTGATTTCACATGCATTCCAACTCAATCACAATTCATGGAAGTTGTTAAAACAAAGAGTTAGTATTGATTAATTTATTATTGAATCCATAATTTACATATAAAACTAATATATATTTCTCTTTTTTAGATACTACTATTGAAGAAGTAAATGTTCATTTAACAACAAGATACTTAGAAAGAACATATTATTCATGTTCAAGGGTAAGAATAATAAAAAATTATATGTAATTTATAAAATAAAATCACTATAATATGATAAAAATCTTATCTAATAGGTAACATCACCATCAACTGGAAAATTAGCCTTGGATATTATGTGTGGTGATTATGGTGCCTCCCGTTGTAGTCCAACAAAATGGTTTCACTTTATGGGGGATACTGATTTAAATCCATTTGTACCATTTCAAATTAACTATATAGCACACGCTCCAAATAGTACAGATGATAAAACTATTATTCCACATGATCCTCCAACAGTACCATGTAATAAAGCATTAAATGTAAGTAAACAATAGTATGCTTGTAATTAAAAATATTTAGATTTAAAAAGAAATCCGTATATAAACTTTTCCAACCATTTTTAGATTAAGAAACAAGCCTGTGCTTGTATAGATTGTGAAGAATCATGTCCAAAACCACCACCTGAACCACCCAAACCAGAACCATTTAGGTTCGCTGGATTCGATACGTATACACTAATCATGGTTGTAGTATTCTTAATTGGCACACTTCTATTTTTAATGGGTGTTTGTTTGTTCCCATCAAAGCCTGAAGACAGCGGTAAGTAAAAAAATAATTTTTTCATTAATAAGTTAATTTTTTTCTTAGTTCTCATATTTCTTTACTGTTGTATTCACTTATCATAAATTTGTTTTCATTACGTTAATTATTTTTTTGTCCTTATTATACATATTATACATAAGTGCCTTGTGTACAGTTGTTGTCGTACAATTTCTGTTATGATTATTTGTATATTATTTATTGCAATATTTATTATACATAAATGCAATTTTGTTTTATTAATTGATAACTTATGATGGTTTAAAATATACTATTCTGTTATGTGATATAGGGGAATAAAAGGTTTAATTTCTATTTTATTAATATTGAATGGTTTCAGTAAATTTTTTTGCATGTTTTTTTCACACTTCATTTTTGAACATTATTTGTAATTCCAATTTTGTACAGATAAATATGTGATTTGATTGGAATTTTTTAATACTGGAAAATATAAAATTACATTTTTGTTTATGTTTGATAATATGGAAACAAAATTTTTTATATGTTGGAAACTTACAATTTGTTATGTTTAATATAGAGATTTACTTTCAAAAATATTTATATATTTTAATTTTCAAAACTTCATATAAATTTAGATTGCTTTAAGAAATCAATGTGTTATTTTTTGATATGTTTGGTAAATTTCAAAATGATCTATAGGTGTGGCAAAGGACTGTTTTGTAAAATATTGCTGTATATAGTAAAAAAACAAAAGAATTTCGCTTCATTAAACTGAAATTTATAACTAAAGTATGGGAAATTTTTTGTTCATATTCTAATTGAAATTTGTAATAAAAATATTAAATTGCTTAAATTTAAGTTCTGTGCATTTAATATAATTTGCTAGTATTTTATATAATATATTTAAAAAAATAAATTTCGATTTTTAAAATTGAAACTTCTGCACAATAATGGAAAATAATTTCAAAAAATAATGTTGCAGTTATAGTAGTTAAAATGAAATAAAAATTTTATGGACTATATAGTTGGTTGCCTTCATGTGCTGTAAACGAAAAACTTTAAGGAATTTTACTTTTTAGTCAATGTTTAAATATCTCTCATATTTTATGTTAATCATTTTTATATAATGTTTATTTCTGTCCAAATTGTATAAAAATTCTATTATTTTTAAGACTATTTTGTTACATTACGCATCTTTGATTTTAAATTCATATTTAAAATAGGAAAAAATTAATTTATTTTTTTAACGTTTCCCATTTTATCCAAAATTAATAACGGTTTGGTAAATTTAATTTTTTCATTTCATATTTTGGTTATAGCGCTTATTAACGATTTTGATGAAAATCATCTACAAGGAAGGGTTAGTCGCCGTTTAACAGCTAATAGAAGTTTTGAAATTGATGCAGAACAGGAAGATTCACCTTTACAAGCGAATAGAGCCAGTACGTTTAAGAAAACAAAAACAAATAATTGATTACATTTTAAACATTAGTTGTTCATAATATTTAATATTTAATTTAACATCTAATAGATTGGTTATATCATTAATGTAGAATAAACTAACTATAAAATATTTAAATTTTAAAACAAAATATTTAATAATTATGCATGCGTTTATTTCTACAGTATTTACATGTAAATACTTTATAAACTAATTTCGACTCTAAATTACATTAATAATTTGATTCAGAATCATATTTGATTTTAATTAATTTTTATTTATTAAATAACTTCTTGATAAACATTTTGATTAGATAATTTAAATATTAAATTTTAATATGACAATAATGTGCTATTATATATACATATATATATATATATTAATGTCAACAGTGCTGATATTATTTTTTAGTTCAAGTTTTTTTCAAAGACTATAAGTATAATTTTTTACGATATAATTGAAAATGTTCGTAAACTCAAATCAAAAAAAGTATATTAATAATTCTCCTTATAAACTTCGACTTGCAATTGCTGTGGATAATGTTTTTTTTTTTCATATTCGTGTATCAAAAGCACAACTTTCATACAAAATGAATTGCAGACTTTTTAAATAAAAATTAAATTTAAGTAGCTACTAAAACTACGGTTGTAAAACTAGACAAAAACACACGTTTTATTTTTGTGTTGAGATGGTGTTTTTTATTTTTTATTTGTAATTTAATTTTTTCTTTTTTATCTTTATCAAAATATAAATACTCACAAAAGGCCTTAAATAAAAGGCAAAAAAATAACTATCTTAAGAAAATATATTGCTGAAAAAAAAATAATTGAAAAATAAAAATAATTTTGTTTTAGACATTTCGGCCGATTCACGTACTAATGATGTTCAAATGGACACCATTGATGGAATTGATGTTGAAGAGCTTGGTTATTTTGAAAAATTAGGTGCTAATACAGAAAGTTTTTTAGAAAGTTTTTTCGAAAAATGGGGAACATTCTTTGCAACATTCCCAAAATCAACATTATTAGCTGGTTAGTTTTGGTTTTCATAAATATTTCTAATTTCACATATTTTTTAGATAATTGCTTAAAAATATAAATTTTTTTAATTTTAGGAGCTATTATTGTCATTATATTTAGTACGGGTATAAAATATTTGAAAATAACAACAGATCCAGTAGAACTTTGGGCATCACCGTCATCTAGATCGAGAACTGAAAGAGAATACTTTGACACAAAGTTTAGTCCGTTCTTCAGAGTAGAGCAGGTGAATATCTCTTAAAGATAAATTTAATAATTTATTCAATATATCTTATTTGCAACCCTTTATATCATTCTTTATATCTTCTTATTTGCAACCCTTTATATAGATAATAATAAACGCAGTTGATTTACCAATTATAACTCACAACACTTCTAATGGAGCTCTAACTTTCGGGCCGGTATTTGATAAAAATTTCTTATTACAAGTTTATGACCTGCAACAGTCTATAATGAGTAAGATTAAAAATCAAAATTTGTTTATATTTTCAAATTTAAATTGTATTAATATATATTTATAGAAATCGGGGCCGACACTGGTAATACAATTGAAAAAATATGTTACGCTCCTTTAATATCCCCATTTACGGATCCAGTAGCACCGGAAAATTGTGTTATTCAATCAATTTGGGGCTATTTTCAAGATGATTTGGACAATTTTAATTACACTGATGATGAGAATGGATTTCAAGTAACAAAATTTTAACGTGATTAAAAGTATTGATGTAAAATTAAAAACATTTTTTAGGTGAATTACTTAGACACACTTAATAAGTGCTTTGGAAATGCTTACAACCCCGATTGTTTGGGTGCGTACGGCGGGCCCATAGATCCAGCTATAGCTTTAGGAGGTTTTCTAGAAAAAGGGGAACAACTTTCTGGCACAACTGATTATAAGAAAGCAACAGCTGTTATATTGACATTCTTGGTTAATAATCATCATGACAAAAATGAGATAGGGAGCGCTTTAGAGTGGGAAAGTAAATATGTGGAATTCATGGAAGATTATATAAAACATAACAAAAGTGCAAACATGAACATTGCATTCACATCAGAACGATCCATTGAAGATGAATTAAATAGAGAATCGCAATCAGACGTATCAACAATTCTAGTTTCGTATTTAATAATGTTTGCATATATAGCTATATCTCTTGGACATGTTGAACATCGAAGTAGAATATTTATAGATAGTAAAATTACATTGGGTGTTGGTGGGGTTGTTATTGTTTTGACATCAGTAATATCATCGGTTGGTATATTTGGTTACGCAGGCGTACCAGCGACGTTAATTATAGTGGAAGTTATACCGTTTCTTGTATTGGCTGTAGGTGTTGATAATATTTTTATTTTGGTACAAACTTATCAGAGAGATGTTAGAAAGCCTAACGAATCGCATGAAGAACACATTGGAAGGATATTAGGTAGAGTTGGGCCCTCCATGTTATTAACATCAGTTAGCGAAAGTTGTTGTTTTTTCTTGGGTAGCTTGTCAGATATGCCAGCAGTGAAAGCATTTGCTTTATATGCTGGTATGGCGTTATTAATAGACTTTTTGTTACAAATAACGTGTTTTGTTAGTTTATTGACGTTGGATACAAAGCGTCAATATGAAAATCGTTATGATGTTTGTTGTTTTATTCAAGGAAAGAAAGTGGATACTGGGATTCAAAGTGAAGGTTTACTATTCAAATTTTTCAAATCTATATATGTGCCTTTCTTAATGAAGAAATTTACTCGGGCTGCTGTTATGATAATATTCTTCGGCTGGCTATGTTCAAGTATAGCGATAGCTCCTAAAATTGATATTGGACTAAATCAAGAACTTTCAATGCCTGAGGATAGCTTTGTTTTAACATATTTCAAAGCTTTGCAAGAATATTTAAGTATCGGTCCTCCGATGTATTTTGTATTAAAAGCCGGACTAAATTTTTCAAATACAGAACATGCAAATATGGTTTGCAGTGGGCAATATTGTAATATTGACAGCTTACTTTCGCAAGTGTATGTCGCTAGCAAGAGGCCAAATGTTTCTTATATAGCACGGCCAGCATCTAGTTGGATTGACGATTATTACGATTGGAGTGCTGCCAAATCCTGTTGCAGATATTTTAAAAGTAACGATAGCTTTTGTCCCCATACAAGTAAGTTTAAATACTAATTTTCTTAATGAAAGTTTTGAATTCTATTTTAATTAAAAACATTAAATTTAACATTAACAATAAATTTCAGATAGCGCCTGTGAACCTTGTAATATTAAGAAGAATGAAATGAATAGACCTATTGCAACCGAGTTTGAAAAGTATATTCCATACTTTTTACTCGACAATCCAGATGAACGTTGCGCAAAAGGTGGTCATCCATCTTATGCCACTGGTGTTAAATTCAAAGAAGATCCGAATACGAGGTTGTCTATAGTGAAATCATCCTACTTTATGTCATACCATACGATATTAAAAACATCATCTGACTATTATGAGGCATTAAGGTCAGCAAGAAAAATTAGTTCAAATATTACACATACTATTCAAACTAATTTATTGAAAAAGGGAGTTGATCCACAAACAGTCCAACAAATTGAAGTATTTCCATATTCAGTATTTTATGTATTTTACGAACAATATTTAACGATGTGGCCAGATACGTTACAAAGCATGGGAATTTCCGTATTAGCAATATTTATTGTTACATTTATATTGATGGGATTTGATATACATTCATCATTGGTTGTTGTTATTACTATTACCATGATTGTAATAAATTTAGGTGGTTTAATGTATTATTGGAATATATCTTTGAATGCTGTATCATTGGTTAATCTTGTAATGGCTGTGGGTATATCAGTTGAATTTTGCAGTCACTTGGTTCATAGTTTTGGAGTTTCTATGGAAACTTCAAGAATAAAAAGAGCTGAAGATTCACTTGCAAAAATGGGTAGTTCTATATTTTCTGGTATAACATTAACGAAATTCGGTGGAATCTTAGTACTTGCATTCGCAAAGAGTCAAATCTTCCAAGTATTTTATTTTAGAATGTACCTTGGAATAGTTCTATTTGGTGCAGCTCACGGTAAGATATTCAAAATTTACATATCACGCAATATTATTAATAATATTATTTTAATATTTTAGGCTTAATATTCTTACCAGTTTTATTAAGCTATATAGGTAAGTAAATAAAAATTCATGTTAGTAATCACTAATACTAAGCTAACGTGTTAAAAAATAGATAATATTAAAACAGATTTAAGAAAGAAAATTTTAAACATTTTTTTATGTTTTTGGTAATTTATAGGTGCACCAGTTAATAAAGCTAAACTTGCAAGAGCTCATCGACGAGAATTAGAAATGAGAGAAACTTCTGTTTCAACGGTAAGTGTTTTTTTATTTCGGATTTTTTTTTTTATTGTTTTTAACTAATTTTATCTTACATTTTATGAATATTTTTTTTCTATATTAGTCGTGATGTCTACCATGTAATAAAAAGCCGACGGATGTTATCCATGATGAAATAGAACATAACAAAAGAACCAATTATCAACTATGTAGGAATTTTATACGTCATATGTATCCTACTAAAGTTTAAATTGTAAAATTGTATTTTAATTTTTCGTAAAAGAAAAGCTAAAAACTGGTGTCGGAATTGAAATATTTATGAATGTGAATAATTTTTAAGTTAGCTTCTGAGTTATTTTGCTTTTTATCTTTAATAAAATGAAGATAGTATCATACCAATAGTTATAAGAATTTTTATAAATGTACATGTGAAAATTGTTTATTTAAATAAAATAAAAAGAAAAAAGGAAAAAAAAAAAATTTAATGTGTTAGAAAATAATACATCCTATATACTTAAGTAATTACTAGTTATATAATACAAATAAAAAGAAAAATTATGAATAATTTTCATATATGTAGATACATATTTATAAATATAAATTTAGATTTTAAAAATAAATGTAATTATATTTCTTGAAGATAAAGAAAAATTATAAGAAATTCTAATTAAATATAGGTTTGTATATTAACAATAGTAAATAATATATTATATAAAAAAACAGTTTCTCACACAAAATGAAATTTAAAAAGGAAAGGTTAAAACAAAAAAAGCATATAGATTAGCTTAGTTTAATAATAAATTAAATATAAAATTATATGTAGATATAGAAAATATGTTTTTAGTAAAAGAAAAACAAATTAAAACTAAAAAACACTTAAGATATTAAATTTAAAGAAAAAAAAAATGCTATTTTTAATTTAAAACAAATTTTTTTATGCAATTTTTAAAATGATTGTATGGAAAAAATAAATTGTTATATATTTTTCTTGAAAATGATGTTTAACCTTAAATGTATTATTGTAAATTACTTTAAATCAAAAAAGGTATTTAAAAAAAGTATAAATTAAAAAAACAAAATAAAGAAATGATCGATTATATGTTCAAGACTACTTTAACTTGGACATGGATGAGGCCTTTTAAAACTTTACTATAACATTTATAAAAAAAAATTTCAAATGTGAATAAATAAATATAATTACTCTATATATAAAATAGTTTTATTTTTCGTCAATAATAAAAATTATAATTAAGTATATAAAATATGTTCATGTGTGAATTTCGCTTCAAGAAACTAGTAATTAAAAGTAAATTGAACTTCTTTGCCTTAGTGTAGTGGATTGTGGTAATAACTGCTTAAATTATAAGAACTTACTTTCAGCAACTGATTGCATTTTTGATATCATTGAAATTTGTTTTTTTGAGTATTGCTTAGAACAATTATGTAATTTGAATTGGAATTTAATACATGTGGAACTTTACGAAGAAATAATTCTATATTTTTTTTATTCTCCCCATTTATTTTAACATTCTAAAGTCACAGTAAATAAACATATTATACAATATAATTGCGCATTGGTAATTTTTACAAAACATAAAATTAACAACTGGTTTTTCACATACAATAACTCAATAATAAATTATAAAATTTAAAATTCTGAGAAACAAAATTTTACGAATGATAATTGAAAAAATTTTTCACAAACTAAAGTATAAAACAAAGATATACATTATTTGTATATAACATTAAATACTGGTTAAAACCAATATGTTAATTGCATTGTTCCATCTTGAGTTTTTTGCGTATCCATTATACTTTGCTGTCTTACTAAACGTTTCATTGAAGTTCTTCGAGGTCGAGAAGCAAAGGCAGTATTTTCTGTAACTGGAGGCTCATTTAGCGGTTGTTCAATTCCTTTATTAAATTCTGTAATAAAATCAGTACCACTACCATCCAAACTATCAAGATTTTCATAAGTTGTGGAATTAAAAGATTCCGACCGCCTGAAAATTTAATTATTAATAAAAGTAAAAACTTATTTATTTAGTGCTCTACTTTGGAGCACATTTAAAGCAATCTTCGAATTTCCAATCAGCTCCAAATATTTCTCCATCTTCTAGGGTTTGAGGTAATTTGGCATTCAATGTTTCTGGTAATCTTAAGCCAGTTAAACCACCTAATACTGATACACAACCCATGATAACTAATGGAAGTCTCAAATTCTCTTTTCCCTAGAATTTTGTTTGCTCATCAATAAGATCATTAAAAATTAAATTAAAAAAATATTTACTAAATACGTTATGAATGGAATAACTATTAATCCTAATCCACCAATGTAACTTGATATACCTATACCAATGCCTCTGACTTCTGTAGGATACAGTTCCCCCGCGAATGGATATATAATCAAAAATGATGCTGATAATAATGCTTTAGAGATTAAATATAGTATTAAAGTCTCGTTGACTGCATCATCTGGCAAGAGTACAGTAAATACGCAACTAATACCACTAAAAAATAATAAAATATTAATTTACTTTTTTTAATTAAATATTTAATACAAAATCTCATATACCCTAGAATCATAGACAAAGATAACGGCCATTTCCTACCACAACGATCCATTACAAACCAACAACATAAATAACTTGGTATTTCAACAGCAGCTGATAAAAAGAAACTAAAATATTGATTACTTCCAAGTGCTGGCCCATAATAACTTAATCCTAAGTATACAGTTTCATTAGCAAACCAACTCAAAGTAATTAAGATAGTTTTTAATCGCATATTAGGAGTTCTAAAATAAAATTTAGTAAAAAGGCAATCCAAAATTCGAATATTTAATATGTAAATACTATTACATTATATATGTACAATAAATGTCGAATTTATTTATATATTTATAATCAGTGTTAAAATATATATTATAAAAAACTTGCCTGCATAAATCAAATACTCCAACATTTTTCGGTTTCTTCTTTTTTTGTGTTCTATTGAGTAAAACTCTTGCCTCTAGTTTTTCTTTAAAAGTCACTGGAAATTGTTTTCCATTAACTCTTGCCATTGTTTCAAGAACTTTTAAAGCTTGTTCTAGTTTTCCTTTCATTAAAAGCCATCTTGGCGACTCAGGCATCACAAATATGTATAGGAAATAAGTAAGAAATGGTACTGAAGTATATAAGCAAAGGTCTACCCAATCACGAACAATGTATGTTACTCCTGATAATAATATAATTCCAACACAATAAAATGTACATGTCATTACAGTTACGAATGACCTGTAATTAGGACCAACAAGTTCCAAAGCTAAAAAAGGTAAATTAAAAAAAAAAATTAACAATTTTCACATAAATTTCTTTTTTAAATGTAAGTTGATATTATACCAATAATAAACGGTATTTGATAAACAGCTGGTATTGTTAAACCAACAATAACTCGACTAAATGCCCATGTCCAAAAATCTGGACTAGCCGCAGTAATAAAACTACCAAGTAAAAGTGTTGCCAAACATAAAAAATAGGCAAGTCTACGACCATGTCTATCATTTAACAGTCCAAATAAAAATACACCAATAGGACCACCAGTATTTAATGCAGCTAATCCAACCGTTGGTAATATATCATCATCACATACTAAATTATACTTAAAAAATTTTCAAATTTTATTAATAATATAATAAATGTGTATTTTCATTCATAACACAATTTTAATTAAACATTTCTTCAGCAACAAAATTCATAATTACATACAATTAAATCTAAAATTATTTTAATGCGAATATTTATTATTTTTAGCAAATAATATTTTGAAATTTAAACTATAATGTTCAAAATATTTCCTATAAGAATCATCGAATTTAAAAGTAAAACCAAATAAAATTACATACGTTATATTTGTTTTACTGAATATACCTGATTTTAAAACTGCAAAGCACGAAGATGTTCCAAATGGAAATTATATTTCAGACAACTCACAAAATATGAATCAAATTTTATGGATGGATATACACATGAAAATAATTGATTCAGTATATAATATAATTAATTCCAATGAAACTAAATATATTTATAATAATAATAATTAAATATTCAATTTATAAAAATGTTATTACTTTAAAATTTAGCAATACTTCAATATTGATGTTAAAATATTAAAATTATTGATTATAGGCATACATCAATAACTATCGATGAATATACTGTTGTAGTATCAAACTCCCAACCATCACGACAATATTCTGTTGGCCACGATGAATTTGGAGAAAATGTACTCATATCATTATTTCGTATAATTTCTCTCCAATTGACAGCATATCGATAACATTTCGAATGAACCGAATCACCATTGTCATCCTTTAAATATCATAAATTTAATTAATGTTTTGAAAAAAACTTCATTTCTATTCAATGCATTTGCTATTTAATTGTTTTGAACTTTGAAAACATAACTTAATAACTTTTCAGCCAATATTACTGCAGGTATAAATATTTATAGAAATATTATTTTATACCTGCTTAAATTTTTAAGTCATTTAGTTTTAAAAATTTATTTTAGAAATTTTTAAAATTTTTCGCAGAAATTTAGTCGCACTTGAAAGTGCCTCAAAGTTTCTTTATTTTTATGAAAGCTTTATAAAAATTTTACATAATACTTTATTTTGTTATATACATATATATTTATTAATTCCTTATACATTGAAATTAATTTAAATATTCGATTTAATTGAACATGTTCGAAAAAATGTAATATTATGTATCATCAATTTTATTGATTTGATTTCTTATATGTAGAAGCATACAACCATACATACATATATTATTTTTATACATTATTTCCTGCTCATTTCTTAAAAAAAAAATTTAATTGCACCATAACGAAAACTTTTTGCAACGTAAATGTAAATTTATCATTATGCAAAACATTTAAATATAAGATTAAAGTAAGGTCAAGAAATATATTATATACATATATATGTATATATATATAATTCAATTTATAACTTACAATTATAATTGGAATAGACCAATTTAATTTTTCTTCAACTGAATAGCTAAAAAGATCTGGAACTCTACACCAATAGTCATCAGGTACATCAGCCATAAATAATTGATTAAAAGCACAAAATCCACAAGGAATACATGCTGGTAAACATATTCCAAATACTAAAAGTTTTTGATATTTTCCAAATTCACCAATTGATGGTAAAATTTCATCAAGATCAAATGGTTCCTATACATATATGGAACATCAAATTAAAAAATAGATTTTATTTAAAGCCTTCTATGACTTTTTAATTTTAATTTTATTAAATATTTACATCATCTTTTTCTTCATTAGTATCTGAAACATCTTCAAAAGTATCCATAATTAATTTTTATTAATAATTTTATAAAATATACAAAAAAAAAAAGAAAATAATTAAAGTAAAATACTGCCGGGGTGCGTTTAATTTATTCGAAGATATTTTATTTTACTAAAGAAGCCATACTAAAAACTGTAGACTTTTGAAATGAATATTTTGAAATGCAATGGAAAAAAATAAATGTGAAATTATTTAAAAAAGAAATTGTCCACAAATAAGTAAAACGGAAAAGAAAAAAAAACGTATGCGCAGTTTTAACGAAAAAAAAAAGGAAAAATGATTGAAAAACTTTAATAATAAAAAAAATTAATATTAAAACAGACAATTTTGAAACGTTCTCAATGCTAAGCTTTATTAAATTTAAAAAAAAAAACAAAACTTTGATAAAATATAGATAAAAGAGTTAACTCAAATTTCCATCTCCTAAAAATATTTGCAATCACAATAATCGGACTGTAATCCAAATTATTTTCATCTTACTCTCATTCATATAGCCATCTGCGTATATGTATACTCAATTTTTGACAATAATCAAAGATTTTTAAAACAATCTTTTGAGAATCTTTTTTGATATATTTTTGTTTTTGAATAATGCTGATTTTAATTTATCGAGAAATTACAAATTAAAGCAAATACATATTAATATGCGGATGACAAGTAAAGTAAAAAACAAATTTTGTTTTGACACTTCATTACGTCCTTCTTTGATTGGTAACAAATGGTAACTGCGTTTTGAAACACGTATACAAATGCAAGTCTTTATATACGAATAAAAAAATAGTATTTATGTATGTATTTTAAATAAACTTTTCTTTCCCGTAGAAATAATAGTTAAATATGTATATCTTTTTAATAAGAGTATTTAAAAAAAAAAAATAAATTATCTATATATAAAATTTTCGTCCGTATAACTTTGAATTACAGATTAATTTGAAAGATAAAGCTCAAAATTTAAAATAATGAAGTTGCAATGTGTAAAAAATCATGTTTTTTACAATTGTACTTTATGTAATTTTTTTTTTTTGGTACTTAGGTAGTAGTTCTTTTAGCAAAACATGACAGAAAAAACATTATTTATGTCGAAATAAATTCCTCGCCTATTCTATTCCATTCTTTGCATTCCTGAGCCAACGTGTTATAATTTCATCCATCACAACCGTCTGGTTTTCGGTTTTCTTCTTGCTTCTACGCCTTGCTCGCGATGCATTCTTTTCAATATAGTATCATTTGACATACGAATAATGTGGCCCATTTAACTTATTCGACTCGTTTTTATGAAAAAATGATTATATCTTGCTCGATAATTTGATTAACAATCAATAATGGTCGTTGTTATTTTGGAAAATCTTCAAGTTATGATCCTAATAGTACTAATATAATAATATTTTTCTGTTATAACGAAAAATTTCTTTTCACTGGCCAAATTTCAAATATTATGTAGGGGTCTCTAATATTGTAATCATTGTAAGTACCTATCAAAATTTATTTTATATATTCAAAATTATTTTATAAAATATTTAAATTAAAAAACAATAGAGATTTTCATAAACGTATTCTTGCAAAAGAATAACTGTGAAACGCAATACTGCAGAAATATAACATGATGAATATGTAATGTATACATATGTATTTTTAATTATTATAAAATTAAAATAGTTCATATTGTTTAACTATGCTAACTCATACTAATTTAACATTAATTATGAACAAACTCAATTAGAAATATTTGTTTATTTGTTTATGAAAACAAATATAATGAAGTTTACTCGATTTATTGCGATATACTGCATTTATGAGAAAGCCTATAATAACATAAAATATCATTATTGTCATTTCTATTGACGATATTTTATTAAAAATAACTTTCATTTTTATGCATGGATTTGTATAACTACTACATGTACAATTTGGGTATCACATTTTATTAGTGACGTCACAAATATACACATTGATGAATAATAAAATACACATTGTTAAAATTATAGTAAATACCCACACTACATACAACTAAATTTTTAATTTTTTCCTTTTTTTTAAATATAAATTTATAATTTGTATATGTAGCACAATAATTATTCAAGTATTGTATATTAGTAGAAAAATGTACATGTGCGATAAAATTTTTAAAAAAGGATATTATCGATGATGAAATTCTTGAAAAATCATTTTAGCTGAACAACGTATTAGTTGCTTTATGAACATCATCGTTGAAGTTTATAATATGAGATTACAGTGTATTTGTTACGTCAAATTAAAGATATAATATATTATTTAATTTAACAAAAAAAGAGGAAATAATACTAAATAGGATTAATATTTTTTGAATATTTAAAAATATTACTAAAATTGGAAAAAGATTAAAATAAAATTTAATTAAATTTAATAATATTTTAAGAAGAAAAAGTGTTAATAAATTTTAAAAAAACCGAAACAAAAAAAAAATTAAACACAAAAAAGGTAATTTTTTAAAGCTCAATTTTCATGTGAATCTATGACGTAATAAAATTTATAAAGTAGAAATAATAAAAAAAAACAAAAACGCAAATCAGAAAAAAAAAAATTTAAATTAATTTTTCACCGTTTTTGATTTGAAAATAATTTTTTTTTATTGCATACTTATTGGGGCGAAATGTTAAAAAACGCTTTGAATTAATTTAACATGCAGAAATGCATATTATTGTAATATTACTTAAAGAAATTATTCAATATTACTTAGGAATTCAATATTAATTAACAATAATAAATTTTTATTAATTTCTGAACTAACCATATTTAATTTTTGCGCCACATAAACATGAATGAAATTTCAATATTGTTTAAATAATATTTTTTAATTAATTTTCAATTTTATTTTATTTATTTTTTATTTATATTTTATTAATTTTCAAAATTTTGATTTCACAATTAATTTAAAAAGTTATAATTGTTATTGAAATTCAAGAAAAAAATGAAGATTCTCTTCAAAAAAGAATTCAATTAAAATATAATCTATAAATGGAGATTAACTATAATATGAAATTTTAGTAGTAAAAGTGTCCCCATAATACATACCTAAATATGAATATTAAAAATACACTCTTTAAATTTTATTGATTAATATATGTGAATAAACATATTTATGTATGTATGCACTATGAAATAATTGCATATGTACATATGTATATAACAAATATAAAAAACAAAATTATTTAAAATTTAAAGTGTTTTCTAGCAACTGAATTCAATTCAATTAAAATAAAATAATAAAAAATTTCGGTTTTAAAGCTAATTTAATAGATTATATTACCGATTACCAGACGGTACCATTAATATAAATGTTTTTGAAGATTGATTTCATTTAAATATTGCCATCTTCTCCAGAATATAGTATTTGGTTACGATAAATTTGCAGAATACTTTGCAGATGCTCATGATCATAGTCGTTAAACAAATATTTAGTAAAATATTTTATAGGCATGTAGATGCATATACAATTTATCTATATAATTCCTCAATATTAATGTCGACTCAAGTTGAAATTTTGTAAATTATATTTTTTTTATTTTATTTTCTAATACGGTCTCGCATTTATCTAATAGACTTTATGAAAAAATGGATAGACGTGAAATGAAAACAAGGAAAACAATAAAATATTTTTGATTGTATTTTTGAAATGTAAATTTTATAAAGAAGAAAATTTTGTAAAAAAATTTTAATTTTTAAGATTTTTTAATTAACAAAATTGCAATAAAATAAATTTTTCACAATTATAGACAACGATATTTACGATAATATTGATAATATTTTTTCCGACAAATCTCTTAATATACCACTTAGGTCTTCAAAATTAAGGCTATAATTTCAACCATAATAATTAATATACTTTTTATATACTTATGGATAATATACGTATATTCATTTTTATTTTAGTTTTTATGATATTTTTGTGATAAACATATATTTATATACATAAATAACTTTCGACTTAAAATATTTGATTTTAATTTAATAAATCTTCAGATTATAGAATTGAAAAATGAATTTTGATTGTTCTCCTTTTCTTTTATTTTATTTTAATTTTTTTTTTTTTTTCTCAAAACTGATTTTAAAAATAGAAAATTGAAAATTGCAAAAATAATTTTTAAAATAGAATTTTTATGAAAATCTATTTATGTGTACATTCATTTTACATACATAAATATATGTCCATATATATATATATAGTTAAATATAAAATATAAATGAACACGGCATAAAATGAGCTAAAAATAAATATTAAAATCTGATTCTATATTTAAAAGGACATAAATAAAAATGAAAATAAGCAGAAAAAAAAAAACGAATTGAATCCTTTTCTTCAAATTAAAAAATAAATTTTAAGTCTTCTTTAATATTATCGTATATATACACACATAATATGTACGTAAAAATACACACATACACACAAAATATAAGGTATAGATTCCCACACACTCTTACTAAAATATAGTAATTTAATAGATGTATTTTTTTTATTTTAAACAAATAATATTCCTGTTTTTTTTTTTAATTTACATATATGCATTTATTTATAAATATATATATACATTTAAGCATATTCATGTTAAGCATTTATAAAAAGCAGCACCAACGTCCTTGTAAACACATACGAATACAGATTTATGTCAAAAAAAAAAAAAATCTTTAAATTTTATATTTCTTATTTCGCTTTTTTTTAGTTTTTCTTTTGCTTCTATACCTTTTTTTTCAATGCAGTATACATAGAATGTATGTGTGTTTTTTTTTGTACTATGTATAATAAAATTATATCTTGCAAAGATTGTATATACACTAAAGTTACTGTTAATATCCGAAATTTATTTAATAATATTTTAACAGGAATAAGAATAAAAAATTCTAATGTTTGGTCTGTTTTCTGAATTTTTCAAGTTATTTATTAAATTAAAACTTTATTACAATTTTATATAAATAAAAATAAAACCCTTATACAAGTTGATTTAGAATCAGATAGGGTAATTTAATAATATACCATTGGGTAAAGGGTGGACAATGAATAAAATATTTTGAAGAGAAGATGTCTCAAATTAAAACCATTTCCGTGCTAAAGGGATTTTAAGAAAATTTTGCAAAATTTTCGTGGCAAAAAGAAAATCTAATGTGATCAGCACA